ATAGTTATTGTAGTTTATTATAGTCTATTATATAGTTATTGTAGTGATTGGCTTACACAAACCGAGCCGTTAGCTGCTTGTTGTATAATCTACTGGTGTAAGCATTTCTGCCATACCACAGAAATGTCCACTAAAGAATTAAATTTTTAAATGATAAAAAAAAAATAAAAATTTATGTAAATAATTATGCAAATTTTTTTAAATATATTTACAATCATTTCTTTTTTTATAATTATTCACCTAGCATTAACACTAAAGAACAAATAAATTGGTCCTTTATCGGCATTATCACGAAATGCTTTATCCAAACGACGATTACCGATTTCTGTACTAGCCCAAATGTCATACTATAACCATATAAAATTTAGATAAAAAAAATTTCCTAAATATTTAACAAACTTATTTATAAAGATATAAATGAACAAACCTTTAATGATTTATGAACATCATCTTCAGTGTAAGACTTGATTACAAAGAATCGTGCCTATATTCATAAATAATAAAAATTTATCCACAGAATATATAATAAAAATTTATCCACAGAATATATAAAAAAAAGTTCTCATGTTATATATACATGTTATATACATGTTATATACATGTTATATATACATGTTATATACATGTTATATATACATGTTATATACATGTTATATGAACGCTTACATTCTGTGGCTTGCAGTTAAAATTCTTGGGGTTATATCCTCTTTCCGCAATCAACCCTGACATATCTTTTTTACTCGAACTTGGTGTTGGTGGAATACTCATCATGGGATTTGGTGTATAAATACTACCAATCCCATTACCTGTAGGTGTAGGTGTTCCAACAATTTTATTTTTACTGGTCCAAGTTCCAGTAGGTGCTGACATTGGTCTAGATGCATACGTGGGTGAAACTGCTGATGAAGGTGAAATAGCTGCACTATACGCTCCACCTATCACTTCTTGAGATGTATTTACTGGTGGTGGAGGTTGAGGTCTTGATTTGGCAACATTAGCCCATGTTGGCTTTGGTTGTTTATTAGTTATCGATTGTCCTGTTACTTGTACATTAGAAATGTCAGGGGATGTCTCTTTACGAATTTCTATGCTACCATTAGTTATATTCATACTGTTCAACGAATTTGTTAAATCAGTTATTGGTCCACCTGCTCCATTTCCTGTCATGTCGCTCGCAAAAATGTTTTTACTAGAATTTACACTAGCTAAAGATGGCGATGTAAGACCCGGCACCATTGTGGAACTGAAATAATGTTCTGTATGATCAGATCTCGGTGATGCCGGACTACGATAATTATCTAGTCCTGGAGGTGCTGTCATCATAGTTTGAAGGCTACGAATGTCTAATTTTAACTCATTATTAAAGTCCTTACCGTCATTACCTGATGTATATTTTCCATTATCTCGTATAATTTCATCACTATTTGATGGATCATATAATGCCATACTCCCAGAAACTCCATCATCACTCACTATTCCACCATTTCCATCTAATCGACTATGTAAATCTGATGCTACTGATGTTCCCCAATTTGGAAGAATAAATGGTTGAGTCTGTTGCTTTTGCTTAAGTTGTTGCTGTTGTTGTTGTTTATTAAGCTGCTGTTGATGTTGTTGCTGAAGTAATTGTTGCTGTTGTTGTTGCAACAACTGTAATTGAAATTGTTGATATTGCAACGATGTTAATTGTGTTTGTTGTTGTGATGGAGTCTGAGGTTGCGGTAAAGGATTTACAAACGGTCTATATTGAAAATGCGATTGAGATAAATAGTTTGTAGGCGAAGATGGCGTTACAGCTCCAGTAGATGTACTAGAGTCGCGATAATCTAATGGACCTCCTAAACCATGATCAAATTTTACATGACCAGTATCATCATGTATGGTACCATTGCCTTGAATACTGCTTATAGTAGTAGATCTTCGAACATTAGGAACATTAGATCCAAATAAGCCGCCATTATTATTATAATATTGATCGGAAGTTTGAGGTGAGAAATACCCTTCCGTATTGTTCAATGGATTTGATGAAAAAGGTGTTGTTGAAGGTGTCCAAAGAGATGACGTTGAAGCAGCAACATTGGTTAAGTATCCATTACTATTGTGATCATTATGTGATGGTAATGTTGGTAAAGTTGCTGAACGCGTAGGCTTGTATACAATAGATTCCTTTTTTTTTTTAAAACCATAATTATTATTCATTTTTAAATATATATCTGATTTCATCTCTCTATTTAATTATTTACCATACGAAATATATGTAACAAACCTTTGGCGAGTCCTCAAGAACGAGACTTCGTATTGCTTTATCACAATCTTCATCATCTGTCAATGCCCCAAAACCTGGATTAGTACTTTTAGAACTCCGAGGTGGAGGCGATGAGGAAAGAAATGAATGTCCAAATGCTGAGCTATATAAGCTTTGTTGTGTTGATTGAAAAGTTAGACTTTTCTCAGCATGAGAAAGGTTGGATTGTGGATGTTCATTAGCCATGATTAGCACCACTGGACTACTGGTATTGGTATAATACTAGTTATTATGGTACTATCACCGTTAAAGTTTATTTATTACTGCGGACGCCTAAATTTGTAATGGCCAATCAGATTTTAATAGATAGATCGGTGATACAGTGATACAACAAATGTAACAAATGTTGGTTAAATTAAAATCTCTCGGTCTTTATTAGTTTGATAAAATGATTTTTTCTTTTTTTCGTCACGCGGTTCTTGATTCGTTCTTTTGCCTTTATAATAATGCAAACATAAGAATTACCCGAATTCATTAAGATCTATAATTAGTTTTTTATTGCACAACAATGAAACTGTAATTTTGAAATAGTTTGACAATTGGAATCATAGGAATCATAGGATTTCTATGATCAAACTTTCGTATCATATACGGGCTACCGTTAATACTCTTAAGTTTTTTGACAATCGGAACCTCTTTTGAAAGTTTGGCATATATGCATCATTTTTAACTTGAAACACTTCATGATTTATCTGTTTTATTGTGAATTACTAAATATATTATAATTGTTAACGAAACCTAGGCTTATATGAAACATTCAAATGTTATGTGGCAGCAATCCACCAAAAAACCAAACTATTAACAGTGGACAACAAACATGGTTTGACATAGCAAGTACAATACAGAATCAATGACAGTTTTTAATGGGACATTAAATGCTGAAAATACTGAAAGGTATTCAAAGTTACACTAACGAAAGTGTTTTGGAGTACACTAGTGTTCCGGCTAAATCCTTTTTTCAAAGTCCGAAACTGTTCGCCTAAAAAAAAAATTCCCGTTGATTATAGTATTCATGGCAATTGACGATAACCAGGTAATCATAATACCTATGAAAGTCTCTTCGAATTTTTGTACTTTACTTTCGTTTAAATTTTATAAGATAGTTTTTGATGTAAAAAAAAATAGTGTTGTCTGAGTTTGGAATCTGTTATAACTTGTTATGATATTTTAATATTTACAAGAACAGATTAAAATTAAACTAGATACTATTTAAAATATAAATAAATTAGTATTAACATAATTTTTTTTAAACTTAAGTGATAAGAGCTTTGAATATACTTAAAAGCATTTTTTTAGTATATTTAACAATTTTAGTTTGTATATTAAATTAAATTTTAATAAGCATATTAATTTTTTTTGTATAAAATTTTAATATACTGTAGCAATTAACAATTAAAATGTATGTTATAGTATAGTATTAATAATAAATAAATCTACAGTATACGTGCTGTATTATAAAATAATAATACATATAGGATGCTAGTAAAAAGCCAAACAAATTATTTTTAGTAATTTTTTTAAAATTTTAAATTAAAATATTTTAACAACTACAGTATTATCAAGTT